CAAAGATGTCTGCACGACTTGCCCGTTGTTCAACGCTAGATTCACCATTTGATCGGTGCTATTCACGTGGTTGACTGGAATTGTTAAGATTGTCTGCGTTGCAAGACCTAATTTGAAAAGAAAATTAATTTATTTTATTTTTATACTTTGGACACACTGTATATTACTTAATAATAAGATAATCGTGTGAAACTTACCCTGTGAAGTGGGTATAAGTAATTGTGCACCTTGAATGCCTTGCACCAGCTGACCGGAGGCCAGTATGAATTGCGGCATGGGTGCAGGTTGCTGTGGGGCGGTTGCGGCCGCCGCCAGCGAGGTTTGGAGCTGTGACTGCAGCGCGGCCGCCGCGTTGTTTTCCGCATTCCTTTGCGCTACTGCAAAAGCATACACTTCAAAGTTAAGCACTTTAAATAAATTTTGCCGCCTCCGGCAGTAGGAAATAATTTAAGTCAAGATAACAATCATTTATTGCTTATATGAGGTTTAAAAAAATGTTTTACCGTTTGAGGAAGCGCCGACGCTTAAATTTAAAGGCGCGTGGAGTTGTTGAGTGGCGGCGGCGGCGGCTGCCGCTGAATTTGCCATACTCTGTAGACCAGCGGCTAGTGACGCCACCTGTGGGAGACTTTGTAGCGATGCTAAACTTTGCAAATTTTGTAGAAGACCTAAACCAGCCACTGGAATAGAATAAAGATATATTTATACCAACTCGTGTATTCCAAGAAAAATAATAGTGTCTACAGTAAGTTTTTAGTAAATTTTTGAAGTCGTGTTAGTTACAACGTTAATAACTCAAGAACAACTCGACAGATTTTGATGATCTATGACTTTTTGAATTCGTTTTTGATTCCAATAGCAGAATAACTATTAAAATATTAAAAATTATGATTGAAAGGGCCTTAAATAAGAGATGAAAGTTAATATGGAGGATTAATGATAAATATAACTAAATAATTGAATTCCAGATGGCGTTAATGTGCAATTTTTGCATTTTACATTAAAAAACTGAAAACTACATGACCAGTTAAATATAAATATGAATGTGAACACATTGTACGTTACTCACTCGCCCCGTTGAGATGAGCAGCGGCGGCAGGTTTGATATCCACGTCGTCGGGGCGACCGCAACCGCCGCCGGCGGCGTTGAGCAGCTTGTGCACCGTGGACGACGTCGTCATTGACGTGGCCGTCTGCAGGTCCTGCGCGTG